GGAGATAAGTGAGAAAGCCTTTTTCCTCGCCTTTTTTTATCTAGCTTTCTCGCCTTTTTCCTCGCTTTCTCGCCTTTTCCCCGCTTTCTCGCCCTTTTCCTCGCCTTCTCGCCTTTTCCCTCGCATTTTTTACCCTCGCTTTCTCGTTTTTTACCCACCCTCCCGCTTATTTCCTCGCTTTTTTTACCCTCGCTTTGTGGTGGGCGAGAAGTCGGGGGTAACATGGTCGCAACCGGCTTGCATACAATTACATTTGTCTTTATGATAACTGTTGTTCTGGTTCAATTGTTTTCAATTTAGTGGTTTAAGGAATAGATCAAGGACCTACCCAGTGCCGTAACTATACAACATAACTCCTCTATAATCCGATAAATAAGAAACTGAGAAACTGAGATAACTGAGAAATTGTCCTTTAAGGGTCAGGCTCGCCATTCATCCGACCAATAGTACCATTGTCTGAGCTTTCTTGACAAAACGTACTTACTTATAACTATTTTATAATGGGGAAGAACAAATTTGAAAGTTTGAAATCCTCTTCACAATGTCAAGATATTACGAACTGCTTCTAATACCTTGACTGCAATGCTAACTAGCGTACAATCCAATCAAATCACTGCATTTTGTGACAGGTTGGCTATTGCAACCAAGTTATAAGCTGAAGTTGGTAATAGCTTGACATGCTGTAGATGGTTCGAAATCGAAAGAATTTATGAAGAAAAATTTGGGTGACACAAACTTGCTCTTGTTTGTATAATAATTATTTGTTGCATAAAAGTTAGTCATATTCACTATATGTTATTCTATCACTCAATAGTCGTGTCATGTTACAGGCCATGTACAGCTGGATACGATACAATGATATTAGGAAATATAAAGGTGTGTAACCAATGGGATATGCAGCTTTTAATAGGTTACCCGACAGTTTGATATATTTTATTGACATGCTCGTTTGCTGGTTTGCAACGGTGACACCATATTAACGATTATCAAGGATATTCAAGTACAAAGAATCGGAGGACAATTCTTTAGTTTTTAAAAGGAAAAAAAATCAAGTATGAAATTACAAAATTAGATCATAGAAAATTTGTGATATAATACACCAGGTAAGAGAAAGATTTTATATGATATCGACAAGTAACTGCGATGAACAGAATAGGTAGGTAGGTAGGTAGATGACAAGTTAACGTTCGCTTCCAGTGGATGCTGATATCGCAAACTAGGTAGCTGTTGGTAGTCGTAGTAATTGGTAGTTGGATTGGTTCAAATAAGATGATTCTTTGTTGTTGGTTTGGTTGAACAGAGTACTATGACGAGACCTTATATAGTTCCATTACTGGAGCAGCAGTGAATGAGTTCGTGCCCCTCCCCGGGAATTCAACATTTTATGCTCTCCTGCATTCTGAGACTCCTCCAGGTCCGTAGCTTGCCCAAGGGTTTCAGCGACTCAACAAGTTATTTAGATCATCTAAATTTTTCAGGGGAGAGGTGGGGCAACTTTTTGGCCAGGGCCTGGACCTCTTAGTGAATTTACCGTCTGTTAATAGAAGATTATAGATTATTAATTAATGCTATTGCTGTAATTTCATTATTATTAAAAACGTTGTAAATTATAAAATATGAAATGTGCTATATACATCTATACATCTACTTGATCAAACTGAATTTGTATTTACATTGTTAATTAATAAGTAGACAGTTTCTAACTAGTTTCGGCACTGCGCTGGGCTTTATGACAACTCGATATTTTTAGTTCAAACATTCATATAAGTAGGGGATATTTTGTTTTCGCCTAAATCGATACATTAGTTTTCAAACACTAACCACAAACAATGCAACTTTTAAACGTTTACGTAAATTTTAGATAAAAAGTGCTTCTAATGAAACAGAGTCCTTATTCTCGAAAACTTAACTAAGATAAAATCAAGATTTTAAGAAATACAGTAATTTGATTGGATAATAAAACTAAATTTAAAATCAATTTTAGTGATTGACAAATTAATTGTCTGGAACACTAAAATCATTTTAACGTGATACTAAGAATGAACATAAAATTTCTCGAAATTGTGAGTATATATATTCATAAGTTAGCTTACCTGGTGTCATAAAGTTACAACAGAATCCCTGTAAAATCTGGAAAATTGGAAAATTTTTAAAACTTAGTAATTATTGAAAAACGCTTAATCTTGATATTAAGCGTTTTTCAATAGTTAAATTGCATATTTATGGATAATTACTAAGTATTTTGGATTTATCGGATTATATAAGGATCCTGTTATGTTTTATTTATGACACCAGGTATATCTTCTGGCTCTTATTCGCCAAGTTTAAAATTCTTAACTTTTAAAGTTCTTTATGCTTTTTGGAAGCTGTTAGAAAACTACTGTACGGATTTAAGTAAAGAAGACCTGTTTGACAAAGTTCTGTCAGCTTCCGATCTACTTTACATCCTCTGAATTTGTATTTTGTAAAACGTGAATGGGAGTAGACTGTCAATTTGAAAATCTTTACTGGACCCTTTAAAACGGTGGATTTCCACATTTTTATTAAAACCCATCAAAATATAGTTTACAGTGACTAACAAAAATAAAGACATGCCAGAAAGCTTATGAAAAGCAGAATACAATAACTTCAAACTAAATGGTGAGAAGGTCCAAGTTCAAGTGATATAATCCTCTGATGATAGAAAAAAATATGCAAATTGCCTAATATATAAAATTTACAGTCCCTCAAAAGATATAATTGAAAAGAATTGGCAATCCTCTGGTGTTTGTATCGAGTGAATTGGAAATGTATTTATATCATAATTGAATTTGTATAAAATCAACATTTGAAGACAGCCCAATCCGTAAAACTGTACAACTGACAATGACAGAGATCTCGACATAGACAGAAACGATTAGATAATATACCGGGCAGGCATTGTTAGGATACAATAGATATACGGTTACATATAAATTACACTATTCAGGTTACGAACACAAAGCTTCCTTTTGTATGCAATAATAACTCGTATCAACTTCGGGATAAGAATGCTGCTAGCTACCCTCGTATATTAAACCAAGATCGCCATATTGAACACAAATAGTGCGGTTGTTTCAGTTCACAGGAGGTAATGTCTATGTTTATTATCAGAGCTCCAATTACAAAATATGTCATCCAGTTCGTGAATATTTATTTATTAACTGGTTACTGAACAATTCATATTTTATGAATGTAAATTATATTATTTATATATGTATTATAATAAGGCAAGTAATAATTATTCATTAGACATTGTTATTTGAGTAGAATAGTTCTTTGTAATGAAAACTATTTCGTCTTGCGACTTCTTTTTAATTACACAAGATTTGACCGCACCAAAATCACTCCGCTATTCTAGCCAATGAAAATCTGCTCTTATCCATTTTCCTGGCAATATGTCAGCCTTTAATGACCGAGTCAATGTTCGACTCCCGAAAACTAACGAACATTGGCGAAGGTTGAGCCGAATAATTCAATACTATGTCTCAAGTATTTTTTTTACCTTTTATTTTGATACTTTATTATAATGGCCCATACATAAATTTGACAATGGTGTAAGGGTGATATGAGAAAAAAATTCCCAGTAAAACCGCGGTTTTATATCCTGTTAGTCATCAACCATCATCAACTGTCGCTCACCATCAACTACTGTCATCCACCCTCATCTACTATCATCTTACATCAACTCCTGTCATCCACCATTATCCATTGTTATCCCCCTTCATCTACTGTCATCCACCCTCATCTACTATCATCTAACATCAACTCCTGTCATCCACAATTATCTACTGTTATCCCTTCTCATCAACTGTCACTCACCATCAACTACTGTCATCCACCCTCATCTACTATCATCTAACATCAACTCCTGTCATCCACCATCATCTACTGTCATCCACCCTCATCTACTATCATCTAACATCAACTCCTGTTATCCACCATTATCTACTGTTATCCCCCTTCATCAACTGTCATCAACCATCATCAACTGTCACTCACCATCAACTACTGTCATCCACCCTCATCTACTATCATCTAACATCAACTCCTGTCATCCACCATAATCTACTGTTATCCACCATCATCAACTGTCATCCACCATCATCTACTGCAATCAACCATCAACTACTGTCCTCCACCATCATCTACTATCATCCACCATCAACTCCTGTCTCCACCTTCAACTATTGGCATCTAACATCAACTCCTGTCATCCACCGTTTATCTACTGTTATCCCCCTTCATCAACTGTCATCCCCCATCATCTACTGCCATCAACCATCAACTACTGTCATCCGCCATCATCTACTGTCATCTAACATCAACTCCTGTCATCCACCATCAACTACTGTCATCCACCATTATCTACTGTCATCAACCATCATCTACTGTCATCCGCCATCATCTACTGTCATCTAACATCAACTCCTGTCATCCACCATCAACTACTGTCATCCACCATTATCTACTGTCATCAACCATCATCTACTGTCATCCGCCATCATCTACTGTCATCTAACATCAACTCCTGTCATCCACCATTATCTACTGTCATCTAACATCAACTACTGTCATCCACCATCATCTACTGTCATCCACCATCAACTACTGTCATCCACCATTATCTACTGTCATCAACCATCATCTACTGTCATCCGCCATCATCTACTGTCATCTAACATCAACTCCTGTCATCCACCATTATCTACTGTCATCTAACATCAACTCCTGTCATCCCCCATCATCTACTGTCATCTAACATCAACTCCTGTCATCCGCCATCATCTACTGTCATCTAACATCAACTCCTGTCATCCGCCATCATCTACTGTCATCTAACATCAACTCCTGTCATCCACAATTATCTACTGTTATCCCTTTTCATCAACTGTCCTCTACCATCAACTCCTGTTATCCCCCTTCATCAACTGTCCTCCACCATCAACTCCTGTCATCAACCATCAACTACTGTCTACTCCATCAACTACTGTCATCCACCATCAACTACTGTCATCCACCATCATCTACTGTCATCCACCATCAACTACTCTCATCCACCATTATCTACTGACATCCACCATCATCTACTGTCATCCACCATCATCTACTGCCATCTAACATCAACTCCTGTCGTCCACCATTATCTACTGTTATCCCTTTTCATCCACTGTCCTCCACTATCAACTCCTGTTATCCCCCTTCATCAACTGTCCTCCACCATCATCTACTGCCATCCACCATTATCTACTGTCATCCACCATCATCTATTGCCATCCACCATAATCTCCTGTTAGCCATCAACTATCATCTACTGTTATCCCCTTCATCAACTGTCCTTTACCATCATCTACTGTTATCCCCCTTCATCAACTGTCCTCCACCATCATCTACTGTTATCCCCCTTCATCTACTGTCATCCACCATTAACTACTGTCCTCCCCCATGATTTACTGTCATCCACCATCATTTACTGTCATCAACCCTCATCTACTGTTATCCACCATCATCTACTGTCATCCACCATTATCTACTGTCGTCAAATGATAGTCATTATTCAATCCAGTGGCAAGTTCGTTGGTACATTTGACCTATTATTGTCATATAAATTGAAATATCAACTTCAAAATAGTACTATTAAAATGACTTTGAATTGATCAATATATAAACATGAGCACGTTATCACGTTGAATTTATTTTTTACAGAGGAGAATTTTCAGTTGAAATTTCTGGGAGGGACGAGTGTTTCTCTTCAATATAGACATTGACAAATTTATAGTTTTATCAACTCAAAGTTATTCTACGATTAACGGTACTGTTGTGAAGCGGATTTTCTAATTTTCAAAAAGAAAAAAAATAATCGGTAAAATTCGATATGTCAACAACAGTAGTATTATGATTAAGAAACAACGGTTTTATGGAGATGGAGACTTCTATTTATTATTTTAACACGATGTTTCATGTGCTGTGATACTTCTAAATGTCTTACAAGGATGACTTCTATTTATTATTTTAACACGATGTTTCATGTGCTGTGATACTTCTAAATGTCTACGAGGATGACTTCTATTTATTATTTTAACACGATGTTTCATGTGCTGTGATACTTCTAAATGTCTTACAAGGATGACTTCTATTTATTATTTTAACACGATGTTTCATGTGCTGTGATACTTCTAAATGTCTACGAGGATGACTTCTATTTATTATTTTAACACGATGTTTCATGTGCTGGGAAACTTCTAAATGTCTACAAGGATGACTTCTATTTATTATTTTAACACGATGTTTCATGTGCTGTGATACTTCTAAATGTCAACGAGGATGACTTCTATTTATTATTTTAACACGATGTTTCATGTGCTGGGAAACTTCTAAATGTCTTACAAGGATGACTTCTATTTATTATTTTAACACGATATTTCATGTGCTGTGATACTTCTAAATGTCTACGAGGATGACAGAAATATGGTTTTAGATTAATATTTTTTTTTTATTTCAGAATATCAGCTACAGAGATGAGATTTTATTTAAAGGTAATTATTACACGACTAAAGCAAGTAGCATTCTCATGGAAAAGTGACCCAATACAAAATACAAGCTAAAACGAGCTTAATAAATTGATTTTACCAGAAATATTGCTTTGGTACAATATTTTTTTTCAAAGATATATGCCAATTTAGATTTTAAATTTAAATTTTTCTCAAATCTTTTCCTTTTTTTCTCCGCTTAATGGTTGTTATCTTCAAATGTTGCAAATGACTGGCGGGAAATGATAAATGTTCATATATTATATCTATTATGATGAACAGACGACGTGGTATAATAATGATCAGTCCATGTGATATAAAACAAGTTTTCTCATTTATTTCAAATCTTTTCATTTTTATTCTCCGCTTAATGGTTGTTATCTTCACTTGTTGCAAATGACTGACGGGAAATAATAAATGTTCATATATATATAATAGCAAAATATTTGTTTACTGTAAAATAGTGCTATTGCAAAGCTGTTGAGTTTTACGCTATGTGTTACTCTGAGTAACGTCATATTTCAGATTCTGTTTAAATAGTTCTATATTCTATATAATAAACATATAAATGAACAAAAGCAATGAATTTGAATAGTTATAACAGGGTTGCTTCCCTTGAATTTATGATCTATGAATATTTCTTTGGTAAGTGTTGCAAGATTATATATTTCTTGATACGGCCCTTTTTTATTTTTATACATTCACATAAAAGTCGGGGCGTATGTTGCCATCATCCCTGTCCGCCCACAATTACTTGTAAACAGTCTAAAGGGTAGAATTCTTGATGGATATTGATGGTAAAACTGTGCACAATCCCCCCAAAGATGAACCTTACTGACAAGAAAAAGAAAATCGGGAAAATAATCAAAATGAAGTTTGCTCTTGTAGGCGCTTGCAAGTTTTAATATGTAAATACTCTAGCTCTAGAAGGTCAAGTTAGATAAGAATCTTCGTGATATTACAGCCAATAAGAAAAAAAGTTCAGAAAAGTATGACTAAAGGTAGAATATTTCATTGTTATAATGGTTTCTGTACTGCCTAATATTTGTTTACATACAAAGCTGTCAGTAGATGTATATTACTTTAGAGCCGACGTTAAGCGGACATTCAATCGGTACTACTTTGCTTCATGCAGGCTAACTTATATCTTTGTGTATTGACTTCTTGATTCCTAGGGTGATAATCATATAAACATTTTTGGTTCATTTCCCCATGCACCTTTCACAACTAGCAAGATGATAAAACACCAGCCCAAATTTCAACCATACTGGCTAACTTGCCACGAGGAGCGGGGTACTACCTAATGCTACTGATGGCCTATTGAAATCCCTTAGTTCAATTTCGAATCCTCATCATTATCCAGTTAAATGTTGTTGTCAATAATTCATGTTTTTTTCTATTCAGGGTTTTCTGGTCACAGTTGCTGTCCTGCTGCCTTTCGGCATCTTATATTCAAAATATTATTGGAAAGTGAATGATCAATTTAAATTTGTTGTGACCACAACCACTTCAGACTTCAGTTTCTCAAATATCAACAGTTCAAAATATATAATTTATATCTGTGATGGGGAGAACCTATGTGGAGGATATGGTGATAGACAAAAGGGAATTGTGGCTTCATATATTATATCTGTTATGATGAACAGACAATTTGGTGTAATAATGAACAAACCATGTGATATAAAACAAGTTTTAGAACCAAACAAAGTTAACTGGATAGTGAATGATAATATAATTAAAACTAAAACATCAAAGAGAATTACAGCTATAGATGGTAATTCCGACAAGTTGAGGAAATCTATGATAAAAATGGATCTGGAACAAGAATATAAACAAGAAATAATTTATTTTTCTATAAATTTAGAATTTGTATATTATCTCCGACAAAACAAGAAATATGCAAAACAGTTAAAGTGGTTGGAACACCTATCAATGTCCGAGATCTATAATGAGGTTTGGAACAGGCTCTTTAAGTTAAAGCCAAACATTCAAAAATTAATGGACCCTTACATTTCATTGAAAAAACAAGGAATAAAGTTGATCGGTGCTCAGATACGACTTGGAAAAAACCCTTCGATTCCAGGCGACTCTAGAGTGGTAAATCAATTAAACAATACGAATGTTTTATGGCAATTTTATAAAAAATATAATGACAGTTCCAAATATAGGATATTTATTAGTACTGATAGTGACACTGTTCGAGATAGGGCTAGAACTATATTTCCAGGCGTATATACTGATGTCCCAGGTAAAGTGGTCCATATAGAGCGATCTAATAAACAGGATATGTGTATTGGTTGGAATAAAGTCATATTAGATCAACTTATCATTGGTCTGTCTGATGTTTTAGTGATAAGTAATAGTGGATTTGGGAGAATAGCAGCGTTTTTTAGACAAAATGAAAATGATTTATACTGTTTCAAAAACGATCAAATACGTCGCTGTACCACACAATCTGAATTATTTCTTGTCAGAAGTTGGTAATAAAAATCACAATTTGTTCAACCGTTGTAGCTAAAAAAGGAACGACCACAATTTTCAACCATTACACCTCTCTCCCCGTTCAAACTTTACCCATTTTGTCCCTTTCCAGCCCTTCCTTTCCCAATTTTGATACTGGGATGACATTGTCTCGGCTAAACCACAGACAAATTTCAATTAATTGAAATTATATGTTACTATTTAACGGCTTAGGCCTTTTTCAAATTTTTCAGATATCAATTTTGTAATTTGTAATTTTTTATAATTCTTTCTCTACTTGTAACTTACTCTTGTATAATGAAAAAATTCTTATGGATTACAATTACTAACTTTTTTTGAGCGACGTTTCGACCAGTGTTCTCTGGTCTTTATGAAGCAATGAATGAATTACTCTTATATACTGTCCAACCCCTTTCTTTGTGCAGTGAAAGATGGAAAAGGGACGAATTTGGAAACGGGCGAACTTGAAAGAGGTAAATACAAAAGGGACGAATCGGGAAGGGACTAAATGGGAATAAATTGGGGGCGACATGGGTAGGGACGGTACGGTAAGAAGTACTAGAATTTGTAGCGAAAAAAATCGTCACGACGATCGCAAAAGAAGTAGGAATAGGTTCTACTTTTACGCGACGAAATTTTTTGCGCAATTAGCTTATCCAATCAGATGCGAGAATTTTGGCTAACAGCGTCAACGTCATATCGTCATGACGTCAAAGATGGCAGAAAATTGCATAGCCGACTTATCAGTCCAAACAAACTCTAGGACCACGAATTTCTTTGGATCCAGAGGAAATAAAACAAAATCTGGAAAATAATTAGAACTAGTTAATATAAACGCTTGCTTAATAGCAGGGCTTTGTTGAATGCCGCCATTTTGTCGCTGATGGGCAAGGACGTTAAAATAGCGATAACGTCGATCTTCGATGACAGTGGAATTCAAAATTCGTCGAGCGCTTTTATTTTGCGACGAAAAATATCGCTTTGCGCGAAAAAAATGTCCCGTGGAAAACCACCTTTACGTATAACTTGTGTGAGCGGCTGTGCGATCGGTTGTAGGTAAGTTCGTCACAAGGTATTTTGGCCACGTCACAGTACTACGGGCACAAGGTATTTTGGTCACAGTAATACGGGCACAAGTTATTTTGGTCACAGTAAATGAAATGAAATGAATGGAGTTTTACGTCCTACTCTTCTGCACCATGTGGGCTAATGAAGACGGTTTGGTCACAGTAATACGGGCACAAGATATATTGGTCATAGTAATACGGGCACATTTTGGTCACAGTAATACGGGCATAAGGTATTTTAGTCACAGTAATACGGGCACAAGTTATTTTGGTCACAGTAATACGGGCACAAGGTATATTGGTCATAGTAATACGGGCACATTTTGGTCACAGTAATACGGGCACAAGGTATTTCTAGAAGATTGAAATTCGTGAATTAACGTGGAATGAATTTGTGGAGTAATTCCTGTATCATGTATCGAAAAAAAATTTTTGATCAAGAAGATATATAGATATAAATAGCATAATTTTATAAATATTTTCAGGTATAATTAAGAACGTTTTCGATTATGAAAACATTTTGCAAAAAAGCAGAATGTCCCTTTAACTTACGATATTTGAAGAACAGCGCGAACATATCGGCTAGAAATGTAATAGATATTTTTAAGAAATTCGGTATAAACATCAAAGGATCGCCTTTTTAATTCCAAGATAGGGTGTAATTTTTATTTTTTTTAAATAAGGGAATGAAATGAGCAGTTTTCAATGAAAATGTGCATTGGAAAACGATAAAGGCGAGAAAAAAGACGAGGTTAAAAAAAAGCGAGGAACGGGCCGAGAAAGCGAGGGTAGACACATCTCCATAAAGCTATTGTGAACTGCGTCTAATACCTTGTCTGCATTATACATGTTGCTTTATACATTTTAATATAGCATTACTCCAGTTAACCAACCGTCCAGCAACCCGAGACTTCATGTTAGAGATCAGTCTACAGTAAAAAAAAAACGTATTTTAAACGAAATTTGTGAATTGCATCTTTTTCACGACGACGTAAACAAGGTGTTCTGCTATTTAAAAAAACTTTGCAGGTATGAATTAATGCGTTTACTTAAATTAACGTAGTGTTTGGCTTGATTCACGGAATTACACTTTACACTGATTGGTTGAAGTTTATCAAGGCTTCTCATATTTCCCGGGGATCCATAAAACAACTGATTTATAACCATCTTGCTGGGTACAGATCAACATTCCACCATCGTACAGTCTTGCAAGTTTGAATATTTTCTGTGTTTTATACCGTCATCTACCGTAAGTAGTATAATATACCTTCAAAGTTGTCTATGCACATCTATGCTATGCAAGCATTAGGATATCAGCAGTCTGAAGCTGACATATTACATTTGACTCTGAACAGGATTAGGCTGCCAGGTACATAGCTGACATTTGGGCTCTATCAACAGACAAAGACTGTCAGTTGCATAGCTGACATTGGGCTCTATCAACAGACAAAGACTGTCAGTTGCATAGCTGACATTGCAGACGAAGATTGTCAGGCGCATAGTTGACAATTAGATCTATCAGCAGACAGAGACTGTCAGTCGCATAACAGACATTGAGCTCTATCGGAAGACTAAGACTGTCAGTCGCATAGCAGACATTGAGCTCTATCGGAAGACTAAGACTGTCAGTCGCATAGCTGACATTGAGATCTATCAGTAGGTTAAGGCTATCAGTCGTTTAGCTGACATTGAGATCTATCAGTAGGAAAAGACGTTTCCTGACATTGAACTCTATCAGCAGGATAATACGTTTCCTGATAAGATGAGATAAGATGTTTACTGACATTGAGCTCTATAAGTGGGATAAGACGTTTCCTGACATTGAGCTCTATCCGTAGGATAAGGCGTTTCCAGACATTTAGCTTAATCAGCAAGATTAGACCTTTCCCGACATTGAGCCCTGTCAGCAGACTAAGGCTGTCAGTCGCATAGCTGACATTGAGTTCTATCAGTAGGAAAAGACGTTTCCTGACATGGAACTCTACCAGCAGGATGATACGTTTCCTGAAATGAGCTCTATCAGTAGGGATAAGATATTTACCGACATTGAGCTCTATCAGTAGTATAAGGCGTTTCCTGACATTAAGCTCTATCATCACGATAATATGTTTACTGACATAGAGCTCTATCAGTGGGATAAGACGTTTACTGACACTGGGCGCTATCTGTGGGATAAGACATTTACTGACATTGAGCTCTATCAGTGGGATAAGACGTTTACTGACACTGAGCGCCATCAATGGGATAAGACGTTTACTGACACTGAGCGCTATCAGTGGGATAAGACGTTTACTGACACTGAGCGCTATGAACACGATAAAATGTTTACTGACACTGAGCTCTATCAGTGGGATAAGATGTTTACTGACATTGAGTTCTATCAGTGGGATAAGATGTTTACTGACATTGAGCTCTATCAGTGGGATAAGATGTTTACTGACATTGAGCTCTATCAGTGGAATAAGACGTTTACTGACACTGAGCGCTATGAACACGATAAAATGTTTACTGACATTGAGCTCTATGAGTAGGATAAGACGTATCTTGACATTGAGCTCTATCAACACGATAATATGTTTCCTGATATTTAGCTCTATCAGTAGTATAAGGCGTTTCCTGACATTGAGCTCTATCAGTGGGATAAGATGTTTACTGACATTGAGCTCTATCAGTAGGATAAGACGTTTACTGACATTGAGTTCTATCAGTGGGATAATACGTTTACTGACATTGACCTCCATCAGTAGGATAAGACGTTTCCTGGCATTAAGCTCAATCAGTGAGATAAGACGTTTCCTGACATTAAGCTCAATCAGTGAGATAAGACGTTTACTGACATTAAGCTCAATCAGTGAGATAAGACGTTTACTGACATTGAGCTCTATCAGTAGTATAAGGCGTTTCCAGACATTTAGCTCTATCAACAAGATAAGACGTTTACTGACATTAAGCTCAATCAGTGAGATAAGACGTTTACTGACATTGAGTTCTATCAGTGGGATAAGACGTTTACTGACATTGAGTTCTATCAGTGGGATAAGACGTTTACTGACATTAAGCTCTATCAGTGGGATAAGATGTTTACTGACATTGAGTTCTATCAGTAGTATAAGACGTTTACTGACATTGAGCTCTATCAGTGGGATAAGACGTTTACTGACATTGAGCTCTATCAGTAGTATAAGACGTTTACTGACATTGAGCTCTATCAGTAGTATAAGACGTTTACTGACATTGAGCTCTATCAGTAGTATAAGACGTTTACTGACATTGAGCTCTATCAGCAGGATAAGATGTTTACTGACATTGAGCTCTATCAGTGGGATAAGATGTTTACTGACATTGAGCTCTATCAGTAGTATAAGACGTTTACTGACATTGAGCTCTATCAGTAGTATAAGACGTTTACTGACATTGAGCTCTATCAGTAGTATAAGACGTTTACTGACATTGAGCTCTATCAGTAGTATAAGACGTTTACTGACATTGAGCTCAATCAGCAGGATAAGATGTTTTGTGACATTGAGCTCTGTGGTCGCTTCAAGGCGTCATTCCTGTATCGACAGGTCAAGGTTGGTATTTGATACTGAGCTCTATTAAAATATCAATGACGTTATCTGACAGCTGTATGGATTGGCATAGACAAGTAGACTTGTGCGTTCTCTAATATTTAGATCTAGTTTTATTGGCAGGTTAAGTCTTGGCATTACTATTGGCATTTTCATTTTCATAATTAATGAAAATAAGGGAACCTGACATTCAGCTCTATTGGCAGGCTAAGTCGATATCACATTTGGTTTTATCCAGTATTTGATTGGGTTGTGTGGTCAGGCTCGGGCGTTGTCTGACACAATGGTTGAATCAGAAAGCTATGGCTTTTTCGTGCATTTGAATCTTTCCATAGTCTAAAGCTAAGATAACATAATACGTAGGCCTACGCAAACTGAAACGCAACCCTAATAAAAAAAACAGATCACGGCAAATCCTATCCTAACCTTAGCGAATCTACTGTTCTGCTTACATGTGAGGTATACACCATTCGTTAGCTATACGAACAAATTAAGAGGGTACCTGACATACGGTTTTATCAGCAAATATGTAAATATTTTTTTGAAAAGTCGATTGTTGAATACATGATGGAAATGTGCAAACATGACAAATCTCAATTTTTTTCTTTTTGAGATAGTTTTTTCGCCTTTTTATTTTAGATTTAAGAACATGTTGAATTTTCAATGCTTAGTGGTTTTGATAGCAGTATTTGTGACTATCCACGCATACAATGAAGGTAATTCTAAAAGATGAATACGGAACATTAATTTTGAGGATAAGTTACTTTCGCTATATATACACTTTTTAGATTACATTTTTGCGCATTTTGGTAATAGAGACATATTACAGTCAAGTAACCTAATTTCATGGAAACCTATTATTCGTGGATTACCGTAAAGGATTAATAATTTACATGAGCGACCTTGCGCGACCTCCGCATTAGTTTGTTTTGATAAACATGGGTTTTCTGTACAATATCAGCTAGTAGAATGAATCCAGTAGTTTCAAGCAAGGTAAAATTATTAATGTATACTTTGACAAATACAAAATGGCGGATTTCATTTATTACCAAACGTCACCATTTTTTTATCGGCCGAATTTCCTTGATATAATCCCAAGTGTCGTCTGCTAGAATGTAGTCCAACGGATGAAGTCACGTGATAAACTAGCGGATTCCGTGTCAGCAGAAAATTTCTATGGAACACAAAGTGGACCATATTCTTATGTTGTTTCAGTGACTTTTAGCAATAAATCACGTTACGTATCTTTTTTTGTCAGTCACTATTTTTTTTTTAAATCGTGGTTCTTTGAAGGAATTGTAACTGGTTATAATGAATTGATATTAAAGATAAATACTAAGAGAAGTTAATTATACCACCCGGTATCCATACAACGTGTTTTTCTAGACTTATTTATAGATCAAACATTGTACACGAAAATAGGTGACGCATTCTGCTGCCGTTGCCCAGTTGGTTGCTCATGAAATATGGATCAAAGTGAAGGATTCATAAAGAAAATCGAATTAAACCAATTTCAATTATTTTGTGGAATATCTGAGGAAACAACTAAGACATAAAATTTTTTTCGTTTTTTTAACTTTGACGAAATTCGGTGTTGAATCCTTATATCCACGAAAATAAGTTACACCACTGTATATTATCGCCATGAAACTCGAGAAGCGATATCCAGGGGTGTTATTGTGTTTTATTTACCAGTTAGGTATAACAATTATTAAAGAATACATGTTATATGATTTTTTATAATATTTTGAGAGAGACACTGCTGTTATTTAAGGGCTTTTGGTGCCCCTTAAAGATTTGGGACGCCTTTTGCGCCTACCTCTCGATTTTGTGGTACCTGGTATCTCCCAGTCTCCAAAGGGGGAGGGGGGGGGGGGGGCAAAGGGGGCATCGCCCCCTCTCGGACGTAAACCTGGCTCCGCCACTGACTCTCCACGCCTGCACGTTCTATTTGTTCATAGAATTTGAACACTGCACAGCTTTTCTTACAGATACACCTTTCTTAACTGTGTTCGCAGGTTTGATCCAAGTTCTCATTTATGTGACCGTTATTAGTTTTCCAAAACTTGAATTCTATTTCAGAAGTAGAACGAAGGTTGGATACGAGTGGACCGAGACCATTATCGAAAGGTATCCACTCTTTCTGTCAAAAGTATCATCCTAAACGGTGCAATCTCTGCCCATACGAGATGGTGAATGATATCATACAACTGTGTACTTTATTCTACAGGGGTCCTAAGAAGTCTAGTGGCAGTAAGTAAAATCTTCGCTTTAAAGTGGCAGTCTGGTTGAAGTCTGAAGTAGTTTCGGAATGCGAGACTCTCGAATTAATGAAAACTATACACCAAAATATATATAAATGTATTTCTTACCTTATTTGGTTTTAACTAAATGTTAATAAGATAAGACGACTTTAACCATTAAATGTGTTTATATTTAACAGAAAGGGAAGAAGGAGATGAAGATATCGGAGAAAGAAATTTGAATGAATTACTTAATAATCTGGAGGAGAAAATAAATGATTTTTAAATGAAAAAGAAAACCATTTGTCCGCGAATAAACTGTCACCATACATGTATTTCTTTTATTAACTCGTACCTTTAATATATTGACTAATAATGTTTATGAAAATTAATTTTTAACTTCCGAACTCGATTGAATAAAAATATATTCGCCAAATTTTTGTTTTTTTTCACTTTATTTTTTAATTTCAATATGGGAGTCCGTCCAAACTCTTAACCACGCCCCACAATTAAACACACGTGGCAGCGTTCAATGGAAGGAACGCCCCTATCATCCAGTCCCTCTTTGTCTACGTACAGCTTCGGCGAAAGAGGGGTAGGTAGGTAGGTAGATGACAAGTTAACGTTCGCTTCCAGCGGATGCTGATATCGCAAACTAGGTAGTTGTTGGTAGTCGTAGTAGTTGGTAGTTGAAGCTTTCACAAAATGGGGGAGAGATGTTCTCTAATGTTTCTGCAATGAAACTTGTTAAATTGATTGGATATAATTAAAAAGTGTTAAGAAACTTTGAGTAAAAAAAAACTTAGCCTATCTGTTCAAGACAGATTTGGTTATAAAATGGAAGACTAGTTCCATTATCGTATACCAGTGGTCCGTGGGTGGAGCCAAAACATTCTGTATGGTGAGTGGTATGCCGTTGGTTTCCAGGTACTCTAGTAGTGGCTTACGAGCGGGTTTCAGTTCAGTGCATTGAATGAGGACATGCGACCTTGTGGCAACGTGGCCGCAGCGACATTTAATGGCGTTGAACTGATGGTCTCGTAGTACGTTGTTGGTCCGGAGTCTGGTTGCCACTTTGCAGATGGCTACACATGGATGGTTTGGTTTGGTTTGGTTTGGTATCTTCGGATCAATCTAGTATCTTGCGGTGTCGAGGTTCCGTAACATGTCAGACCATTTCTGGTTGATCCTAGAAGATACTGCAGAACTCCGAATAGGAGTATTCTACAGGCTCGATATCCTCCAGACTCAGACTTTCCTTGGCACAACGGTCTGCTTGATCATTGCCAGGAATGGAGACGTGCGATGGAACCCATACAGATAAGACATAACTCGACGTATCTCTTTCGGAAAGTCCACATGGCTAATATATTTTGTTTACATTACATATATTACACACAAATAGACCGATGAATCTGCTAGTTAAAATACTTATTAAGGTTAAACCTTAGCCTATAAACTCCAGGTCCGTGTTTCCAATAGATCAATTAATACCCCCGACACATACACAATTTTTCTTATGAGTCCTATGAATCGCTGACTCTTAGTTAACCGCAAGCTTCCGTAAATAACTCGCTGGTTTCTGTGTAACAAGTTGCAGAAACTCATAAGGATTTGTCAAAACTCTTCTTTTGGTGTAGTTACGAGTGATTTACGAATAGATACGTATTCTCATACAAAGTTTTCTGTTTGTAGAAAGGTATAAAATCTACAAAATCGTATCAACAAGTATACAACTCTTAAAATGCTAGTTCGTTGCTCGTAGTTATCAACAATCTGACTAATAAAGCGAGGGTAGACACATCTCCATAAAGCTATTGTGAACTGCGTCTAATACCTTGCCTGCATTAGCCACCTTTCTTGTTTTACAGAAGTATGTGAATACATCGTTTTGACTGGATTGGGTGCTACCGACCACAGGATTATTTATGGCCTTAAAATTCTCTTTTTCATAATATATGACAATAATGCATGAACATGTTTTGATACACCCATCACCAAACAAGCAGCAATACCTCTACCCAGAATAGGTATACCCTTCATATGACTCACTAGTTACAAAATTCATGAAAAAGCCTGTATCCATAGATACCTACCTTACCCAGACCTAAATCTAACAAAAAACCTGACCCGAGTTGTCTGAAAATCGCATAGCGTGAAACTTTATGTTGCTTTATACATTTTAATATAGCATTACCCCAGTTAATCAACCGTCCAGCAACCCGAGACTTCATGTTAGAGATCAGTCTACAGTAAAAAAAAAAACGTATTTTAAACGAAATTTGTGAATTGCATCTTTTTCACGACGACGTAAACAAGGTGTTCTGCTATTTAAAAAAACTTTGCAGGTATGAATTAATGCGTTTACTTAAATTAACGTAGTGTTTGGTTTGATTCACGGAATTACACTTTACACTGATTGGTTGAAGTTTATCAAGGCTTCTCATATTTCCCGGGGATCCATAAAACAACTGATTTATAACCATCTTGCTGGGTACAGATCAACATTCCACCATCGTACAGTCTTGCAAGTTTGAATATTTTCTGTGTTTTATACCGTCATCTACCGTAAGTAGTATAATATACCTTCAAAGTTGTCTATGCACATCTATGCTATGCAAGCATTAGGATATCAGCAGTCTGAAGCTTGGGCATTGGGCTCTATCAACAGACAAAGACTGTCTGTTGCATAGCTGACATTGCAGACGAAGATTGTCAGGCGCATAGTTGACAATTAGATCTATCAGCAGACAGAGACTGTCAGTCGCATAGCAGACATTGAGCTCTATCGGAAGACTAAGACTGTCAGTCGCATAGCTGACATTGAGCTCTATCAGCAGGTTAAGGCTATCAATCGTATAGCTAACATTGAGATCTATCAGTAGGAAAAGGCTATAAGTCGTATAGCTGACATTGAGATCTATCAGTAGGAAAAGACGTTTCCTGACATTGAACTCTATCAGCAGGATAATACGTTTCCTGATAAGATGAGATAAGATGTTTACTGACATTGAGCTCTATAAGTGGGATAAGACGTTTCCTGACATTGAGCTCTATCCGTAGGAAAAGACGTTTCTTGACATGGAACTCTATCAGCAGGATGATACGTTTCCTGACATTGAGCTCTATCAGTGGGGTAAGATATTTACCGACATTGAGCTCTATCAGTAGGATAAGATATTTACCGACATTGAGCTCTATCAGTAGGATAAGGCGTTTCCTGACATTGAGCTCTATCAGTAGTATAAGGCGTTTCCTGACATTGAGCTCTATCAGTGGGATAAGATATTTACCGACATTGAGTTCTATCAGTAGGATAAGGCGTTTCCTGACATTGAGCTCTATCAACAAGATAATATGTTTCCTGATATTTAGCTCTATCAGTGGGATAAGGCGTTTCCTGACATTGAGCTCTATCAACACGGTAATATGTTTCCTGATATTTAGCTCTATCAGTGGGATAAGATATTTACCGACATTGAGCTCTATCAGTAGTATTAGGCGTTTCCTGACATAGAGCTCTATCAACACCATAATATGTTTCCTGATATTTAGCTCTATCAGTGGGATAAGACGTTTATTGACATTGAGCTCTATCAGTAGTATAAGGCGTTCCTGGCATTGAGCTCTATCAACACGATAATATGTTTCCTGATATTTAGCTCTATCAGTGGGATAAAACGTTTCCTGACATTGAACTCTATCAGCACGATAATACGTTTACTGACATAGAGCTCTATCAGTGGGATAAGGTGTATCTTGACACTGAGCTCTATCAGTAGTATAAGGCGTTTCCTGACATTGAGCTCTATCAACACGATAATATGTTTACTGACATAGAGCTCTATCAGTGGGATAAGACGTATCTTGACATTGAGCTCTATCAGTAGTATAAGGCGTTTCCTGACATTGAGCTCTATCAGTAGTATAAAACGTTTCCTGACATTGAACTCTATCAACACGATAATACGTTTACTGACATAGAGCTCTATAAGAAGGATAAGACGGTTCCTGACATTGAGCTCTATCAACACGATAATATGTTTCCTGATATTTAGCTCTATCAGTGGGATAAGATGTTTCCTGATATTTAGCTCTATCAGTAGTATAAGGCGTTTCCTGACATTGAGCTCTATCAACACGATAATATGTTTCCTGATATTTAGCTCTATCAGTGGGATAAGACGTTTCCTGACATTGAGCTCTATCAACACGATAATATGTTTCCTGATATTTAGCTCTATCAGTGGGATAAGACGTTTCCTGACATTGAGCTCTATCAACACGATAATATGTTTCCTGACATTGAGTTCTATCAGTAGTATAAGACGTTTACTGACATTGAGCTCTATCAGTGGGATAAGATGTTTACTGACATTGAGCCCTATCAACACGATAATATGTTTCCTGACATTTAGCTCTATCAGTGGGATAATATGTTTCCTGACATTGAGCTCTATCAGTAGTATAAGACGTTTACTGACATTGAGCTCTATCAGTGGGATAAGACGTTTCCTGACATTGAGCTCTATCAACACGATAATATGTTTCCTGATATTTAGCTCTATCAGTGGGATAAGACGTTTCCTGACATTGAGCTCTATCAACACGATAATATGTTTCCTGACATTGAGTTCTATCAGTAGTATAAGACGTTTACTGACATTGAGTTCTATCAGTGGGATAAGACGTTTACTGACATTGAGTTCTATCAGTAGTATAAGACGTTTACTGACATTGAGTTCTATCAGTAGTATAAGACGTTTACTGACATTGAGCTCTATCAGTAGTATAAGACGTTTACTGACATTGAGTTCTATCAGTAGTATAAGACGTTTACTGACATTAAGCTCTATCAGTAGTATAAGATGTTTACTGACATTGAGCTCTATCAGTAGTATAAGACGTTTACTGACATTGAGCTCTATCAGTAGTATAAGACGTTTACTGACATTAAGCTCTATCAGTAGTATAAGATGTTTACTGACATTGAGCTCTATCAGTAGTATAAGATGTTTACTGACATTGAGTTCTATCAGTAGTATAAGATGTTTACTGACATTGAGCTCTATCAGTAGTATAAGACG